AACAATGTGGCACTGACGCTGACCGAACAATATGTGTTCCACTGCTTGCTAGGTGTTACGAGTCATGATTTGGACAACACATCAGAAGGGATTCTATGGAGGCGAGAAGTTCATTTCTTCCCAACTGATCTTGTACTTTAAGCATCAGCTTAAAATCAAGATTAGGACGGAAAGGCGGTGACTTACTTCATCAGAATTTGGCAAAAGGTGGTTAAATCTTGCGTGCTTGTGTTGTGTGAAAGGGGCTGACCTGGAGTGGCACTTTGATGCCGGTTAGGCATCAGGATATTGCTCTTCCTGGGTTGAACTTGTGCAACCCATCCCGAAACTAGGCTAGCTTAGGTTAACTTTTGATTCTTTAGTTTCCTTTTTCAGTTAACTTAGCTAGGGTATATATGCTCATCGGCCCCCTTTTATTTCTGTCCCTATTTTCTTTAAGTTTAATTCCCCATCCTTTCCCTCATTAGGTGGTCAGTGATGCCAGTTCGCTGGTGGATGTGGGGGCGCCTTTCGTTTTGTGTGAGAGTTTTTCGTATTTGTTGTGTCTGTGTGAGTGCATGTGATGAATGAATGTTTTATACTATTATAGTCCCACATTGATTTCGCCCAGTGAACTGATATTTCTACCACATTTAGTGATTGTGGGGGTTTTATTACTAATATTATTTTCTTTAATTTCTTGTAAATAGTTTTTGCTTTCATATTGTAAATACTCATTGGGGTTAGTTTTTTTAGAATTGTTGTTTTGTTACCCTCCCACCACACACAATGAATTGTAAATATGGGGACTAGTTATAGAGACAATGAAGTATTATGGTGGATGTAGTAAGAAAGGTATGTATGAATGTGTTGTTTTGGTGTAAAGAATATTGTTTGTATGATTGGGTCAGTGTTTGTGGCTAGCTAAATTATAGTCAAGATAGAAGAAGACTGTCCTTTCCCCAATCCCCACTTTAGCCTTGTGCCACATTTCTGTGTATTAAAGAGAATAAATATTGCTCTTCACTATGGTACCTAGACTTTATGAACAGTAATTCACAGTTGAATTGGCTATATGTAACTGTCTCTATGCTAATAGTTTCTTTTCTTACATTTCTTGTTTGTGGAACTCTTTTTGGCTTCATGTTTTCCAACCAACTTTTATCTTCAAAAATTTAAATGTAATGTCAATCGCTATCTACTGTCTTGATTAGTCTTCTATTCTTCTTGTTTTTCCACGCCCAGAAACCCCTTGTTTCTTAGTGGCTTCACTGCCTTGTATGGGGATGATATGATTAAAGAAAAAAAGAATAAAATTAAGCTATGGAGAATGTGGTGAAGGTTCTCCCCCTCAAACTACTCTACTATAAAAAATGAGAGCTGAACCTCACATATGTGCAGTGGTTGAATTGCTTTGAATAAAGCTTTATAACAATGTTGATGCTATTCATATTGGGTACTTATTTCTTTGAGAAATGTTCTTCATGCAGATCATCTGTTGCTGATGGGCATGTAGGTTAACGTTTTGCTTAATGTCGTCCATGCATAAATGTTGGAAAATGAAGTTCAGGTATTGTCAAGTAAACATAAGTTTATGGTATACAAATATTTTGAAACCTCCGTGCAAGTTAGTGACACATTTAGAAAGTTCAATTTATTGTAATCTTGCTTCTCACTAGTAAATTTTATCTTTGACAATGGCATTTGGTGAAATAACTTCTTTGTAGATTTTCAAGAGATTTTACATTACTCTCAATAATCATGATGAGATTCTCTTCTTAGGAAGCTGTTGAACATTTTTACCTTCTGGTTTTAGGATGGGATCCTTCTTCAGGTACCTCCAAAAATAAGATTACTTAGTACTTAAAAATCATATATATATATATATATATATATATATTTAAAAAAAAAAAAAAAAAAAAAAAGGTGCTCACACCATTTTTTCAATTATGTTTTACAAATAAAGTCTCCATAGAACGAAATTACATCTGTCATCAGGCTGTCAACATGTCAGAACAGCTACTGTCAGGTTAAAAAATGCATTTCTGCAATATTTTAAACTCAAAGTAAATAATATTTGTTTCAAATCAGATTAATTATTTTTTTGTGATAGTTCTTAGTATACAGTATCTATTTTCATAAGTTAGAGTAGATAAATAAAATAGCAAATCCAACTTGCCCATTACAATAATTGCATTGCATTTGTCTGATAATCAATAGTATGATTATATATTAGTATCACTCAGGAGGATTTTGATAGCTATTCTTTACTGTCTTATGATGTTCAGTATAAGAGATTGGTTTTCTCTACTGTTTTCCTTTCCATCTTAGCTAATTTGTGTTTTGGAATCTTAATAGATGCTTCTTCAATCTGAACTACAATGTCACAGCAATGGATCTACCAGATAGTAGCTGGAAATTTATGGAAAATATAGTAGCTGGAAATTTATGACCTTAGTTTAGAACTAATACTATTATGGATTCGTGCTGATCCATGTTGTGTTGTATCTAATATTTTTAGTCCTAGCATGTGGAATTTCTGTAGATGTCATGGCTTGGCATTTATAATTTCTTTAAAGCCTTCTGAAACTGTAATTGCTTCATATTCAGCAGATATATTTTGACATTATGCTAAATACTTTCTCAATGATCTGAAACATACAAATATCAAATCTGACTTTAAATGTACTTTAAGGCAACTTTATGCGAAAAAAAAATGTCCATTTATAATATCAAAGCAAACCAAATATGAATCCCAGTAAATGTTCTGATGAAAAATTTATTTGTGTATGTTTAAAGATTTAAAAGATTTTCTCAGTATGTCTACATTGGACAAATTAATCTTTAAATTAAACATTGCCGTAATGATTGTATTAGACTACTGCTTTTTAATCCTTGTGATTAAGGCATGTCATTAAAAAGAATAAATGACAGCGTAGATTTATAAGTTAAAAGTTGAAATCTTAAGTTTACCAGATAAGTCACAAAATATGCCTAACATCAAGTAGACACAAAATAAAATCAATTATCGAACAAGCAGCAGCAGCTTTCTGTATGCAGCTAATAATTCATTTTATTTTAAGTAGTACATATGAAAATTGATCTATAGGTTTGTAGCCTGATGCATAGATAAATTTTGATCTGAATTTTTGCTGTATAATGTTTGACATGATTAATATTTGCGATTCAAAAACTGGAAAGGAAGGAGATTATGCTGAAAAATAAATATTTGTTATTTAAAATAAAAACTTGTTTTCCTCATTAGGCTGTAGACTTATTGATGCATTTATGTATATAGCTACACAATGATGAAATATAGAGGGTTTATTTTTCAATTATATTTGTAAATTCAAGAAGAGTCAATTTCAACATAATTATCATCATCCTGCTTGTGTCAAATTTATTTCTTTTAATTTGAATTCCAGAGACAGTTTGATTTAATTGTGTATTTGAGACTCACCATCAGCTAACTGCAAATTGCATTTATTTAAAACTTTTCTGTTAGTCCCAAATTATTTTATAATTCCGTTTATATATCTGATTGGACAAACATGTATATTGGTCAAATGTTCAACTGAGGTCTTTCAGATGAAGTTACTTCAAGTCAAAATTTACCTTTACAAAGATATAATAATGGTTAACTTTTTACTGGATGATTTTCATTATTATACTAGTTCATGTATTGTCAAATCTATAAATCTTATATCAAGATGAATAGACAAAAAAAAAAAAAAAAACTTATGAAAGAATGTAAAGATGATTCACTACTTCTTGTTTCAAGTAATCAAGGCATAACATTATACAGTGTTATCTTATGGACATTAAGATGTAAGTATCAATTTATGTTGTCAAAAAAGTCAATCAATGTTAAGCTTAGCCATAGTTCAGACCAAGTGCTTATTGAGAGAGAGAGAGAGAGAGAGAGAGAGAGAAGAGAATAATTAGTCCAAAACCTAAAATAAGAAAAGAATGGATTTTATTGTGTTGGGTCTGGAAAAACAAGCCTCATTATAGAAATAATCTTGTAGTAATCAAATTTAAATTCTGAAATTGGACAAACAATATCTGATCATTAAACATAATGTTACAATTAAATTAGGAACATTTTCAAGATAAGTAAAAACAAAAAACAAATAAAAATGTTTTACAAAGAAAAAATTATCAACAAGAAAAGAGACTTTTTAACACATGATGTAAAATTATTTTCCCACCATGTCCATTTATACTAACCAACCAACTAAAAGACAAATTACTATTTCTCCAAATAAAATTGCTATTGAACAGAAATTAACTTGTATCCAGTATGAGATCCAACCAACTAGCAGCTTCATTCTTGACTGTGGTCTCTTCGTAGTAGGCAGGATTTATATATATATATATATATATATATATATATATATATATATATAAAATATATATATATGAAACATGTTCCCAGCAAATTATTAAAATAAAAAAAAAGAAAAGATACAATAATAATTAAATATTGATAAAATATAAATCAATTTTTCACTTGTATTTCTTTTCTGTCAACATTTGATAAGATTGATATCATCCCAATAACCATTGCACCATCTACCAAGATATCACCAAGTCAGATATCAAATCTTTTAATGAAAGCACAAATTCTACCTTGCTTGTGAATAATTAAAGCTGACTGTAACTTTCACTGGTATAAGTCTTGATTTGCAAACACTTTTCATTCATTGCCAATTTGTGTTTTAATTTACATTGGAATGACCTAATTTGATATCTGTCATAATCAGATAATAAAAATAAGCTGTATATTATCAGTTATGAACCTTTTGCATTAATAAGTTTTTGTCAAGCAAGAATAATGCACTATTATTAGTCATGTCTATAGTACCCTTTTCTTCCTAGTTCAGCTTTTGACTTTTTTGTGTGCATGGGGGGGAATGTATGTTTGTGAGGGTACTCTTGGGGTCATCAGGGTTGATAGGTTCTGAAAAAAGAACCAATAAAAGAGTGAAAAGATTTTGAAATTGGAAGCAAAATCTTACTTCATCCTTTTCTCGGATGCCCAGCTTGTTTGCATAGAGCCCATTGATGTGAAGCTCATTGTCTTGATACTCGGAGAGTTTGAAGTGACAACTGAAGAAGGCAGTCTGATCATTCTGAAACGTTGCCTTGAATACATGGACCTAGAAAACAATAGATAAATAAAAATTTTGGTTTTTAAGGAGATATAGTAACTTAGGATAAAAAGATTCTCAGCATATGATTAAAGCTGTTGGTACTTTGATATTTTTTATATATTCTGTGCATGATCTATTAGTGAATAAGAAAAGAAGCAGGAATGGTTCTCTAATATTAACATAGATATTTTATTTTACAGCAATTTTTTTCAGTGTAATTCATTAATCTTTACTTTAATATTTTAGATAATAATTTTTCACTTAGCAATGTGATGATATTAAAACAGTGCTTTTATATAGATTATAATATATAATGACAAAATTATTTTATCCTGCTTTGAAATAAATTAAATACTTTTCACATTTAAGGAAGATTACGATTTATATAAAGATAAAAGTAGCCAAAACAAATCTTTTGCAATAATGTATCTGCAATAATTAGGGAATTTTCTTTTTGATATGGAATGATATTTTGAGGTTGAATGAAAAATATTGTGAAATAATATACAAATATGAATAGATATTTCAAAATATTGTGAAAAATTAGTTTTCATTTTTTTTAAGTGATACCTTTTTTAAGTGGAGATAGAAATAAATGGCTTCAAGCAGAAAATATGTAAAAAATTGTTTAGAGGATGAAATGAGTAAGTAGTTTGAGATTTTGTGAAGATTACCATGTGACGTTATCATAATTATATTGATAACAACAATGTTCCTTCAGACAATATCAGATGATACTGAAAGTTTACGGAAATGTCAACAGTTGAATGAAGTTTTAGGCAGACCAAGATTACCAAGAAAAAAACATTACTATTAAAAAATTAACATTTTTTAAAAAATATTAAAGTTCAATAATATATATACTGGCATTTGCAGTTAGTATCACACATGAGTAATATAATAAAAGCTAAAATTATTTTTTCATAATAGAATTAGAGGGAATTAGCCAAAAAAGAAAAACAAATCATCAATATGGTACTTCAGTGTAAAGAGTATGAGTGTTGATTTTACTTTTTCAAGTTGATTTTTATAGAAAGTCTTGGTCTTTTGGATTATAAATAAGAAAAATTGAATAATAGAACTGACAAAAAAAAATTGATCAGTTCATTTACACTTCTATGGCTTTGAGCCATAAGAGCTTATTGATAATTACTTTAATTCTTTTAATCAGTAAAATGATAGAACAGTTTAATAAGCAGAGTTAAGAAATGTGTAAAGATATTTAAAAATAAAAGAACCAAGACACATTGAAATGCTATCTGTATGATTAAATAATCAACAGAATAAATTTAATTTTATTCAGAATCTATTTCTATAATTAAGAAATGCAGTAGTGAAATAATCTATGACAAACTTCATTTGTAAAGAGAAGCTCCAAATTTGAAATAAGAAGCAATTTGTATGTATATTTTCAGAGGAAACTTGTAAATTTACCAAATATAAGCACATTTTGTAACAATTTAATTTTTATTTGAGATTGTAAACAATATTTGTTAGTATCTGTCTATATTTCCGAGATGAGGCATTATGTACATTATTTACATTATTTGGACTATTGTCCTCATCTTTGTCGCCATATTTATTACAACATTTTGGTTGTTGTATGCTCCGGCCTTCTTCAGGTGGTTGGAATGTCGACTGTTCTAGTCCCACGTGCCATGTTTTTAATGGATGTCAGTTATCAGTTATCTCCTGTTAATTTCCCTCTGAAAGTTCTGCACTGCCTTAAGGGTCCTGTCACTGGATCTAACTAACGCCTTTATCCACTGTGCCATGTGTCCTTGAGGACATCTGGGTATGAATTTCCGGGCATTATAAACCTAATGTCTTCAGCAACCATTTTTACCAGTGCTCATATTGCAATTTTGCTGTTATCATTGCATGTTTTTATTGCAATTTGTGTTGTTATTATCACTTTTCTCTGGCACTCCTTATTACTGGTTCCCATATTGTATTCATTTCTATGCTTGGTTGGCTCACGAGATTTTTGTGATATTGCATACGTGCCGATTCCTTAAGTTTATGAATTTTCCAATGATGTTCTTTGTTTATGATCTCAACCTGATCCCACGGAGGACAGTGATCTCCCTTTTCTCTCCATATGTGGTCAGCCACACCTGATTTTTCCACTTCCCCTTGTGTTACAGCTTTCTGGTGTTCTTGAAGCCTTATCTTAAGGGGGTGGCCTGTCTCTCCTTTATATTTCTCTCTGCAGCTGCACGGGGTAGCGTACACAATCTTTAGTCATAGTCTCCTCTATGGGGGGGTCTTACTCGGAAGAGATATCTGTGAAGTGTTGTCAAGCTTTTGAAGGTTGCCTTGATGTTATATAGACCGCAGATCCTTTGTATTTTCTCTGATAACCCCTTCACATAAGGCAGGCAGACTGTTTTCTGAGTGTTGTTGTCCTCCTCTTGTACCTGCCTATCCCAGTTTTTTTTTCTGCTCCATGTACCAAGGGTAGTTGTTACGTTATAGGGTACTACTTATACTCACTAATTCTTTAATGTCTCTGGGTCGTCACTTATGACTTTTGCTCAGTGTTTTAAGCAGTGGATAATCCCTTTCTTTACATTGTATGGATAGTGGGAGTTGAAATGTCCGGTGAATGCTGGTTTACGTTATATGGACGTCTTGAACTCATGCTCTGTTCAAGATATTAGAACATCCAGGAAATCACTCTTAATACTAAAATTACATTTATGTAGCTCACAGGACATGGTTTAAATTTTTGCTTTGACTTGCATTTAAACTCGCAAAGCAATACTAAACACGATTTCTAATTCTAAAACTGAGTGAACAAAAGCCCCAAAAGTGTAAAGTGCATGGCAATATTTTGGTACATCCTCAATAATCAAATAAAACTCACATTTATTGTCTTCTAAATTCATAGTAAATTTGTTGTTTCTTGTAATAATAAAAAGATTGATAAAGTCATAAAAAAACAAATCAATCCATTTTGAAAAAATATATGTTGTCATTTAAAAAAATAAAAAACACTAATTTCATAAACAATTGCACAAGTAATAGTTCTGCAATCAGATATTTCAGACATATTAGAAATGACTAACAAACCTAAACTCAATCCCCTTCCATAAGTTTTATAATAATAGAAATCATTATCAGTTGATTCATGGACAAATACTGTTAACATGTTAACATAATTCTCCTTTCAAATCAATGGCATTAGTAATTCAGGTAACTTCCCAACCAAGATGCTTAACAACAATTAATATTAGATGAGAGTACAACCTAAGAAACAAGCTGTGCTAAAGTTTTTAAGAAAAGAATAGTAAGAAAATTCCAAAGGATTCACAATAATCCAAATGGGCAGTGAATGAAAAGAGTTATATGAGAACATTTTTCATTTAAAGAATTTGACATTTTTAAGGGTTTACCTATTTGACATGACATAAACGTGTTAACAATGTAAGTTTGAATTGTGACTGAAGTTGTTGCATATTTCTCAAACAAGTGATTAGCAATATTTTGAATACTTTTATAAGATAGGCAGACCTTCACTATTTGAAAGAATTGCTTAACAATCTCCTGATTCCTTGACAAAGCTGAACTTTGTAAATATCTGAATTTATATTTATATATTTGAAGGATATTACAAAAACTATATGGAATATTCAACTTAGAAAATAAATGCATCTACTACAATTGATAAACTGGAAATGTAAATAACATTGAATATATTGTAAGATTTGATCCATTTAAGAAAAAAAAAAACTAAATCTGTCAAAAAAATTTACAAAATAAAAAGTTCAAATATTAATTTTTCAGAGTAAATAGGTGGTGGCTGTGGGTTACAACTGACTAAATCTGTAGGACTTTCATCTAATCCATAAACTAATGCAAAGCATAAAACTGCTTCTTTCCAATATTGTATACTTTTTATCTATCACTGGAAAAATCATATAGATTAAGGGAAAAAAAAAAAGAGAAAAAAGACTAGAAATAGTATATTGAGGATAAAGTAGTTAATAAAATGTACCCATGTAAAGAAAAGAATTTTCACTCTTACAAAATATTGCAAGTACAGCTCTATTAAGAGTAAAATCTAAATATTAATTAAAGTCCTATTTGAATCATGGAATTTTAATAATAGGCAAATTTTTTTCATTCATTTGATTACATTTCATAATGAATGACAGTAGATTGTTAAATGTTTATATAATCAAGTATTTTTAAGACTTTTTTCTGTTTATCTTGAATTTAGAATTTCAATGCTATATATAAGCTTGGATAATAATATAAATTATACCCTTTAACAAGGTTCCATCTATTTTTATGGTCTGCATGGGACCAAAATGCATGTGAGCAACTAAAGAAGTATTGCCTGGAAAAATATTTTTACTTTTTTAGATGACTAATAGAACCAGTGTTTATTCTTTAGCTTTTCAGTAAGAAACAAACATTCAATGATTTCATCCAAGAAAGTGGCAAAGTTTTATCAGCCATGATGCTAATAATCTTGCTCTGCATAATCTGAAATGTCATTACGGTTGAAATTCATTTTCACCAATATTGAATTGGTGTGTTATATATTCCAAACCAAACATTCTCCTTTTCAGAAGCTTCTTTATATCTTCCACTCACTTTCAAAGGGCAGACGATCCAATGTTTTCTGCTTCACTGATAAACAAACTGGTGCAAGGGACATAACTCCTTAACACCTATTCCCATGAAACTTGAGATTGTGGTAAAGATTATTTAATATTCACACAAACATCTGAAAATCTGAAACAAGGGACCCTTGTCTTTGATAAGTAATCTACAATATGCTCAGCTATTGATATCCATGATATTTTTGTTATTTTACCGTTAATATCATTAAATACCAATTTTGATATAGTCTCTTATCTAGTGAAAGAATAAGTTGCATCATGCAAGAAAAATTATCAGTGTAACAGAATATAGGAACATTTCTAGGTTCAACATCCAAACGAAGGATTTCTCATATAAATTTTCTGTAAAAAAAAAAGAAAAAAAAGCTGCTT